GGAGGTTTCTACAATAATGTGGAGGGAGAGTCCTCTCCAGTCAGACTGAGAGGCTGATAACTACAGTTCAGTGAGGTAAAGGACTCTGAGTGTTTAGATAGTTAACTTTAGTCTAAGTTATCTCAGTGGGTCTCAAACGGTTTGGTCACAATTTATGTAAACAAATATTTCCAAGGCACTCCTTTATAATTATTGGGATAAAACAGGTTTGAAATCATTTCAATGTATACTATAGGACAGTAAACCAAAAATATTGTTTTAAACTGGAGAGATTAAAAAAAATGCACGAATAAATAAATGTTAATAGGTCAAATAAGATATGAATGAACAACACAAATAAAATAAGTTACATTTATTTGTTATTGGCTATGGTAGGTTATTGGTTATGTTCACATACTTATTTGATCAATAAAATGTAAACCAATCTTTTTCATATGGGTGTTTAGAGTTGTACCCCCTAGATCTAGTAGTAATTCTGCTTAAAGTGCACCAGATTGAAGCATTTTACTTTAAAGGTAACATGTCATGGCCATTTCCACTGATCATAATTCCATTGTTGAGGTATACTAAAATAGAAAAATACTGTGCAATTTTCCAAACTCACATTGGTTTCGCATACAGCATCTCTGTAAAGTATGTGTATTCAGCAGTATTCACTTTCTCCACTAAACGGCTCACTGCAGCTCCTCCCTCCCCCCCCCCCCGCCCCTCCGTGATTTCCTTGTTTAGCGATACACAGCCAAACGCAGCCAAACTCAACCTGAACACACACAAAGTCACAGCCGAAATAAAAACAATAAGTGTGCCTTGATATTGAGTAAGAAAAAGGTTTATAGGTTGATAAACGCTGTGAGAATGGGTCTTCAGAGCGAATTTCGCGCGATCCCAACTGTCTTTTATCAGCCTGCAGCACGGAGCGAAATCAGCAGGGCTGCCTGCACTGAGTGTGTGGTGTGTGTGGATTGGTCAATTTGGACCAATCAGCGCGGGCTTAAACGTAACGGCTTCCCCGGACGTAAACGTAAACGGCTCCACGGATTTCGGCCCATTTAAGTTCCCGGGTACGTGCTTTCGTAAGCACGTACCGCGATAGAATCAAATGGATTGATGACGTCATGATGACGTTTCACCAACGAGGCGTTTTGGGGAGCAGTATTTTTCCGTTTTAGAGAGTTTTACTCCGGCGTACCAGGGGTTTTGTACTTTGAGGAGATTTTTGACTCTGCACATCGTTTACATGCAGAAAAACCTTCATAACACACAAGGGGACGGGTAATAACCGGAAAAGCATGACATGTGACCTTTAAAATGTTAAAAAAATCTTCCCGGGGGGGCATACCTCCGGACCCCCCTAGAGGATGTGACGTCCACCCCCCATTCTATTGTGTATTCCTTGGATACTCTATTGATCTTTATCTTTTCTATTGTACGATTCTCTGGCTGGGGCGCCAACTCAAATCTCGCCTAGGGCTGCAAATTGTCTAGAGCCGGCCCTGACTGCAACACTGAAAGAACATTGTGATTTGCTGTAGTGTTTTGACTATTGTCCTATGCATTTGCATTAAACAAATCACAGTCTCTGAAGAGAAAGGCAAATGTTGATTTTACTCTTAAATGCGCGCTGGGCCGGTGCATCAAATCATTTAGTCGATCCGCACGGGAGGAGCTTCATAGGACTCGTAGATCAAGCGCACCTGCTGACAGCAGACTGACACCCAGCCAAGAGCTCATCCGGCTTTGAAATGTAAACCAGTACACACTCAGAGGGGCTATGCAGCTCTTTTCAACTTAAGTGAGAACCACAGCAGGACTGTAAAGAGAGGAGGAAGCATTGCAAACAAGATGACAGCCGAAAAAAAAATCCTGCGCTCAAAAAACGATTATCTTTCGGTGATATTTATGTAAATGGTAGCAGTTTGCCGTTGCAGGACAGTCGTATGTGCCTACAGTATGGGGAGGAATTATGTGCATTGCATTAATAACAAGTCAGTAGACAAACTCATGACGGACAATGATACTTGGATGTTGATATTCAGTCTCCTGCTGTGATTTGTGCAGGTGTTTCCCTTCTGCACATGCGCACCAGTACAATCAATCTTGGTAATTATGTGTAGCCACAGGCACACACACATCCCTTATGCTCCATATTTTTTAATATAACTCATCCCCACAGTGTAGTCTGACAGGTTCATGTGTGAAGGCACGTGTATTCACGCTCACACCGCCTGTTCCATCTCTGATTGGCTGCGTTCCGAGGTGACAGACTGACTGTATGTGTGCATATGTGTGTGCGCGGACCCTCTGTTGCGAGGAAGGGGGTCAGAGCCAGAGGAGGTGATTGGCTGGTGAGGAGAGTCACAGCATCAGCACATCCTTAACCCACTGCCCTTCTTTCCCTCTCCTCCAGTCCGTACCCTTCCCCCCAACTTGACTCCGGCAGCATACTGTAGGGTACACGCATGCACTTACACACCACCTATAGAATCTCTTTATTTCTGCACCCCCATCTCTCTTTTGCTCTCTAACCACACACACAAAGCCCTGCCCTCCCCCTTTAAATGTTAAAGAATGCCACTTGTGAATGCAGAATAATGGGGCTGTGAATATCGTCTGGCGACAGATCATCCCTCGAAAGGTGAAGAGGGTTTGAAAGGTCAGAAATGCGCCTCAGAAACGACTTAATTAATTTCCACACATAAAGCTTCAGTTAAAAGGGAACTGGAACACTATCATGTCCTCATAACATGCATTTTGCTCTCAAGGAGTACCACATTCAGGATTTAAAAAAAAATACAATTATTTCAAAACGCATTTTCTAATCATACACCTTGAATATACATAATCCAAAAACCCAAGGGGCCAAAGATGCAACCATGCGGTTTCCCTCTCATTCCTGATCTAGTTAAACCAGCATTACTCTCTCTCTCTCTCTCTCTCTTCCTCAGCGACAGAGAGGATAAGAGAGGAGACAATGCAATGTCTCAAAGTCACAGTGTAAAGAGGCATCATTATTACACCAGACAGCTTTTGTGTCGCTTTGACGCCCCTTGCTATTCTCGCTTCTGCCACAAAAAGCCAGCAGGTATCGGTGCTGAGGACAAAGAGACACCAATAAACCCAAATACACAGTCTGTTTAATGGAGGATGTTGGGGTTCGCTATAAAACGGGTGCATTTGTTGATGCCTTTGCAAAGACAGACACAATCCCACATGAGCAGCAAAGCCACTATCAATGTCACTCAATGCATACAGTAAAGTGAGTCCTAATTAGATAACATATTTGGTTTAAGCCATCTAATTGATAAAGCATTTCTGCAGATTTTTTTTCACCTGTCTCCCTAAAATATCCGTATGTTTTTTAAGGTGTCGCTCACAAACCGTGTGTGATTTAATATTTAGGCTCCTCTCACCTCGCAGTCATACAACTCGCTGAGCTGCTCGATGATCCACTCTTCCAGGACGAGTCTTTTCCGCAGCTCTTTCCTGTCGTACTTGACCGTCACTTTGCCCTGTCTCCTCTGCACCGGGTCGTCTCCGGTGATGGGGCCGGTGCCCACGCAGCCAACTGCGGGTGCACCTTGGAAGAAGACGCGGCTGCCGGCGGTGGGCAGTGGGGCGCTAGTCTCGGTGCTGGCGGCCGACATTGCGAGATGTTAGGGGGTTAGTGTTTTAGGAAAATGTTGCGAGTGAGTGGAGACTGAGAGATGCACAGCAGACAGGAGAGTGGTGAGGAGCTTTTAAACAGCTGCTATTTAAAGCGCAGCGCCGGAGACAGCCTAGGAGGCGGAGCGAACACTGCAAGAAATGAACATCCGAGGGTGTGAATGGTGTGAACATTGAAATCAAGGTTTCCATGAAAAAAAGGAAGCTTTGCAAATGCCTATTTTCCAAATACAAATGATGTCATTTTCAAGTTATAAAACATCTTAAGACGTGACCATCCCACTATTGCTAAATTGGTGTAAAGGGAAGTTCTGCTAGTTTTTGACAGCTGAAATGAATCTGAAAGATATCATTATGCAGGTTCTGTGCTTGTTTTAGAAAGTGAAATATTTTAATAGAATCATATGTGATTAAATTATATGTTAAGGTGGGTATTTTTGGGCAATGAGCCACCTAGAGTCTCTTCTATGTGCTTGTCTGTGTACCAGTGCGCACTGGAGAGCGAGGCCATGCTGGAAAGCTTAGTCTTTTACATTCTAGCCAAGCTATTCTTTTGCTTTGTCTTATTATTTATTTGTTGAACCAACTCCATTACATTATTTATGTGTGTGTGTGTGTGATTTATATATTTGTAAAAAGGCTAATACATAGGCTTTTCCCTGATTCTTGATCACCAGCATGTTTTCAAATGAGTTAATTATGAACCCAGTGAGTTCATCCTGGCAGAGATTTTTGCGCCACCTGTTGGTCATTGTGAGCATTCTTTTTACCACATACTGTAAGTAATGAATGAAAATCATTAACATATTATGCTTGATTTTAGGGATTAAGTATATATGAACTGAATGCTGGTTATTTCACTGTATATATTGCAAAATATCGTGCTTGGGATAAGATTAAATGTGTTATTGCATTACATGTGCCCTTACTGTACAAATAATCTAAGTTTAAAGTCTATGCACACTTGCCTCTTATGTTTATGTCACACCAGTCAGAAGTAGAGCTGGTACATCTCTAGGATTTAGTAACTAAAAATTATAATTTAGATAAATATAAATGACACACTTTTCTTCCCTTCCAATTGCAGCTTCGATTTTAAAACAGCCCTTTGAGAAAGCTACAAATGACACAGTCAGGTAGTTGTTACCTACCAACAGGAAGAGGTAAAATATTGACTTTGTAGCACGTGTACATTATTGAACACATACCTAAGGCTCTCATATGTTGGTTATGGTGCCATTTCTTGACATTAAACAGCGGGTAACCGTGGGGCAGAGCTGCAACCTAAGAGCCACATTCCTCACAAAGATAGCCCTGACTCAGCATTTTTGCCCACCCCTAGTGTTTCATAACACTCAATCTGCACTCAGCCGAGTAACCGGGTCTTCTTCTGTCCTCTAAAGCACTCATGGCTCTGCTGTCAGTCCTCACGCCTGTCCTGGCTGTGGTCCTGTGCCTGGTGATAGGCTTCATGCTGGTGAGGTCACGGGAGACAGAGACCACCTCGACCCCCCCTAGAAAAACTGAAGGGCCAAAAAAAGCAGACTTTAGACCGTGGGTGGACCAGGACTTGCAGGATGATACAGAAATCACAGCAAAAGAGGAAGGTAAGAGCTAATCAGAAACTTCTTTCCCACTTTCTAAAACTTCCCTTTAAGGGAAACGAAGTATATGTAGCCTAGGCAAGAACCCCCATTTCAACACAAGACATATTTCACATAATGTAAAAACCCCTTATCAATAAGTGAATGTCTTTGGTTTTGGACATAATCATTCACAGTTGGGTTAATCAGTAATAGTAAAGGGCCTGCAGCCTAGGGACATAATAGTGTAAGGAAAGGTAATCTTTATTGTCCCCAGAGGGCAACAAGCTACCACAAAGGTAGAACAAGTACAAGGTACTACTAGCTCCTCCTGTACCAGCTGCACATGTAAATGATGAACACATAATGCATCAATATGTTATACAATGTTTTCTGATGTGGGCCATTCTAAGTGCTTTTACATTTTTTTCATTTAATTATTTTTGATAATGTATTTCTTTAGTAAACGTTAGGCTTAAATGCAACATATTTCTAAAGATGTTTTTGATCAATCCTAATGAAAGTGCCCTCTGCAGTAGGCAACATGAACTGAAACTGACTCTTGTAGTCAAGCATGTAATTGTGAGATACTTAAAGGTATCAGTGCACTTGACCCAACTTTGGATAAAACAGATAGACACGTGTTACCTGATATACGGGCAACGTGCTAGTCTATTACATACAGTTTCATCAACATATTATATGTGCGTGATAACATAATGTCATCTGGGTTTTAAATCTAATCATTTTGTTTTGCATCATTGAATATAAATTTACATTATGATCCAAGAATAAGCTGTATTGCTATAACAATTTAGCATTTTGTATATACATAGGCTAGTGCTCACTGGTCCTGCTTTTGTCTGTCATCCTGTTAGAGGATGGCGATTGGGCAGACAGCCACGAGGAGGAAGACCTTCTACATGTACCCTACTCACCACCACGTTACCCCGAGGAGACGATGCTGCAGAGATCCAAGGATCTGTACACTCTGATGAACCAGCGGAGGTCTGTCCGATTCATCAGCCCTGAGCCAGTCCCACGAGAAGTCATCGATGATGTCATCCGTACTGCAGGCATGTGAAGACAAATGGAACACTTTTCATATGCTCTAAACCAAAATACAAAAAACGTAAACATTGATCTAGTGAGGGATGTGGCTATTTGATGTTTTGGTCTTGTAATTGTTTCCTATCTACTTGCCTCCTCCCTCTGGACAGGTACGGCCCCTAGTGGAGCGCACACAGAGCCCTGGACGTTTGTCGTGGTGTCAGACCCCGACACAAAGCACCAGATCAGACAGATAGTAGAAGAAGAGGAGGAGGTCAACTACCGTCAGAGGATGGGGGACAAGTGGGTCAATGATTTGGCCAAATTAAAGTGAGCACCCACACCACCCTCACTCATTAATATTTGCTTATTTTTTCTAGAAAAAGTCAATTTAACTGCCCGTACAGTGATTCATCCCTATCCCCTTATCCCAAATGTCAGCCTAACTTTGTCTATCTTTCATTATGGACCAATGTACTGTTAAGTCTTCCTACAACTTCCAATCTCTCACGTGTCTAACCCATTTGTCAAAACGTCCTTCCTCTTGCAGGACAAACTGGATTAAGGATTACCTGGATGTTGCTCCATATCTAGTCCTTGTATTCAAACAGACCTATGGGATTCTACCAAAGGACAAGAAAAGGACACACTACTACAATGAAATCAGTGTCTCCATTTCCTGTGGAATCCTGTTAGCTGCCTTACAGGTAAAGAATAACACCGCCCATTGAAATATACATCAGCCGATAACCGTTTTATTGCTCATGAAGGCCATTTAAACAAGGGTATGCATGCGCTTTAGGATAAACTGCTACTTGACATGTATGGTAACGTGGCTGAATGTCTGCTCTCTCTGTCCATTTGCTAATCAGAACGTGGGTCTCGTCACCGTCACATCGACGCCTCTAAACTGCGGCCCCCAGCTCAGGATCCTCCTCAAACGGCCGGCCAATGAGAAGCTGTTGATATTACTTCCTGTAGGTTATCCTGCGTCTGACGCCACAGTGCCTGACTTGAAACGCAAGCCTCTGGATGATATTATGGTGCACATATAACAGAATCAGTCTGTAAAGAAAACACACATTTGTTTATCATCATCTTTGAGCCATCTGAAAAATCATCAAAAATATATACCTAATGTAATTAGAAATGTTTTAATTTATCAGTCTAAAACTAAAGCTTAACAATAAACATACAGCATATATGGAAGGAACAGAAAAAAGTGTCCTTGCAACCATGCGTTGTGTGTAAGTCATCAGATACACAAAGCAACATCGGATGACAATGACAATACACTTTAATACAAATCCTTGATTGACAAGTGTAGTTTAATAGGCTATTACTTTTATTTTTAATAAAGATAACCCTACTGTTTATATCCTTTTTGTATGTTTATGTTCAGCCAATCCTGTTTAGTTAAAATAATAAACATTCCACAAAGCTAGTTTTCCTTTCTTTTGTTTTATCATTATGACATATTTTACAATATTTGTTTACCCTTACTCTAAATCATATAAACACACTATTATGGTTTACAGAAAAAGATAAATAAATCCTGTACACATTATTATATGGGATAACATTTTACTGTGATTGAATGGCCACTGGTACAAATGTTAAATCAGTCAAGCAAGCCCAAAGTCAACCTCGCTCTTACCAACAAACGATATCCAGATGCTTTCCAGCGCTGCTGCCAAAATAATACACAATCTGTGTTCAGTTGTTTGCTCTGGGATTGCTTGTGTAAACTGTTTTTTCGCCACTACAATTAATCTGACTATACTGTTGACAAATGTAATGTCCATAAGAAATACATGAATAGTTTGAGATTGTTTATTATTATTATTATTTTTTTTTTATAGTCACATACATTTTTATAACAAAATAATGTATACATTTGCAGACGGTTGTATGAACACATCTGGGGGACCTCTCAAACTGAGTTTTTACCTCTTTACATGAAAAATAAAACGGAGCATGTGCAAGAGTTGCAGAGCCTGGCCATGTGATCGTTTATGAAGTAACCGGGTACATTTGGTTTTTTTAAACATCAAACTCATCGAAAAGAAGTACTCAGATATTTTACTTTATTAAGAACCGGGGTGTAGGAACACTCTGTCACAAGTAAAAGTCCTGAAATCAAAATGTTTCTCTAGTAAAAAAAAGTAAGTACTCATTATGCAGATTGGCCCGTTTTAGAATCATATATTATATGTTTTTGGCTATGAAGTGAAACTTATACTAATTGTGAATTTAATCCAGGTATATCTAAAGTATTTTTTAAGTGTTGCTCCTATTGTTTATCATCTATCTACTGTATATTTGCAAATTAACTAAATGTATTAAATAAATGTAGTGGACTAAAAGTACAATATTTCCCTCTGAATTGTAGTGGAGTAGAACTAGAAGTACAAAGTAGCATACAATTCAAATACTCACGTAAAGTACAAGTACCTCATAATTGTACTTAAGTATTATGTACTAACTTAGTTACTTTACAACACTGTCTTACTGCTTCAATCGAGTTCAAAAAGCCCCTACACTCAGTTCCTCTGTTCTTCTTCCGTCGCCACCGCTGGGGGTCAGTAGCGATCAGGAGCAGCGCTGGATACCCACGAAGAAGAAGGAAGGCCACATTGCGCAGGCGTACACCACGTACACCGATGATCAGAGCTGTCTCGGCTGAATGCTAGCTGGCTAGCTAACGGTCTGTCAACTCGCACACATTGGGCTAGAAGGGGGAGAAGCGCAACGGTGGAGAAGAAGGGCGACCCAAGCGCCGCTACGAAATGGCCGGGCAACAGTTCCAGTACGATGACAGCGGCAACACGTTTTTCTATTTCCTCACGTCCTTCGTCGGACTTATTGTGATCCCAGCCACATATTACCTCTGGCCCCGGGATCAGAATGCTGGTAAGGCCCGATGTCTGCCTCAGTGCTAACTTAGCTAACTCAATAACCACAGCTAGTGTAAAGTGTCCTGGTAGATTCAGCTCGTCTTGTTTGTGTTAATGCTCACCAGTGTGCAGCCTGTTAATCTGGTTAGCTTCCTACTAAATGCAGCGGCTATACGAGCTAACCATACGTTAGTTTAACTTGTGAATGTAGGCTAGCAGACGTCTCTAAGATGATGTCCACGTCTCTTTTACTGCTCGTAGTTAAGTACAGGTCAGTTAGCACAGATACCGCACCAGCTTCAAGTATTACAAAGCCATTTGTTATCTATCTGCCTTAACGTCACATTTATAGTCTGTTTAACCATACTCCGATAGTAAATGAAGCTAAACTGGCTGGTTAAGCAACACCAAAGCCTTGTGTTGAAGGTGCCTTGCCTTTGTGGCTTTATTCACCTTATCCTGATATCCTTATAGCAGATCTGTTATCTATTTGTCAACAATACACCATATCTAACATGGTTTGGGAAACATATGCTATCAAACTTTACCCCGCTGGATTAATGGGGATTATTTAATGACAATTTAGATTGGAGTTTAATAGGATGTAAACAGTTATTTTATTGTTATGTTGAATTAAATATTGTATTGCAAGTTAGGTGTCCCCAATCAACATCATTGCATTAACAATATCGGAAAAATACACCCACATTTAAACTTAATTCAAGCTGAAAAAAGGAAACAAATGCATCCCCCTCTAAAAACATATCCACAATGATTATAAATCCCAATGAAAATATCACTCAACCCTCTTTAAATCATTACCATAAAGCACGTGTATTTCCTCCCTAACTAATGTGGCATTATCAGTAATCATTGTGACTGTTGTGATGATATTAATGTGTCCGTAACCTCTCTCTCTCTCTCTCTCCATTGTTTTTCCAGAACAACTGCGTCTGAAGAGCCTGAGGAAGGTCCATGGAAGATGTCTGTGGTACCGGCTGCGGCTGACGAAGTCGCAGCAGAGCATCGTCCCAACACTAAAGTGAGTCCAAACATCTTGGTTTGTAGTTTTCATGGTGTAAATAGACAAGCTGTGGGTGATTTAAATCCAGAGAGGCCTCTTCTCGAGCTTCGAGATTTGTCTTGGCAGATGAGAAGCGCTATATAAATTAAATTTATTTATTTATTATTCTCACTTCAATTAAGCCCAAAATCAGATTTTACTTTAAATATTTCACTTGTTTATGGGGCTGTTACGCCTTTTCCTAATGCAGCTTCAGTATCATACAAATTCCTCACTGTTGAAATATGATTGGCCTAAACATGCTCAGCAGTGTAATAACAGGCTTGTTTCCTTGATTGGTCCGCTCCCTTTCTCTTTGTACATTTCGCATCCCTCCTGTTGTCTGGGTGTGACTTGCTGTTTGCCTTGAGTAACATCAGCCATCCTTCCTTTACTAAGACTGTTCCAGACAGCTCTCTGGACCACTTAGTGTGTGTTTCAAGCTGAACACTGTCATGTGACAATGAGGCAAAAGCCACACTGTCCAAAGAATACATCTTTTGTGTGGAAATACTTGTATTTGGTCATTTTGGGCACTTTTTTTTCACGTGTAAACCTCTTGGTGACGCGTGCTGTCTGTGTAAACACCGAGTTGCACTGTTTAGCATTTCTCTTAAGATGACGCTGTTTTTCTCAGTGTTGTTTATTCCTTCGGCGTGTGTGGGTTAATAGAAGATTGGGTGTTCAAGTGCGGTTCAGCGTCTCACTCTGCCTATCTTCTCTCACTCCTCGCCTCCTCCGTCACTGTGTTTCTGTCTGAGCGTCTCGTCTTTGTTCTGTCTCCTCGGATGTTTGTTTTCATGCATCCACTTTCCACTCCGGTTCTGTCAATACACCTCCTATATTCTGTTATTACTCTCAAAATTCATGACTTGTTTTTTAGCATGACTGCATTTCTGACTTAATCTGGTGGAAGCATCTTTTTTCATCAGCCATTTATTCTCAAAATGCTACTATCCATTTCCTCTTTGCAACTGTATCAAAACAATGGTTTTTATTATAGGAATCCATCGTATATTTATTTCTGGTTGAGCCAGCCAGACAACTCAGGCTGGTGAGCGGTTGTCATGGCAACAGATGCTGCAGAGCAGGCCATGGGGTTTTGCTATTGTCATGGAAACAAGTTCAACTTTCATGCATAAATACCAAACAACAACAATGTCAGAACCTGCCCTGCCCTTCTGCCTCCATGCATAGACCAAGCTTTCTGTTTTTTATATTCCCAAATGTCCCGTCTCTCTAACAGCTGGAAGCTAGTTTTCATTGCAAATTGCATCTGCACAATATCTAAACTCCAAACCGGTCTAAAAATTAGATGACGCAGTGTGAAGTGGCTTTTAAAAAAATGAACGGGCCTGATGTTGTCTCCTGGGAGCGGTTACACTTGTGTGTGACATCTTTTCCTTGCTTGTGTGTTTCCATTTTCAGGAAAGCAGCTTTGTTATTTGGCTGGGCTGTGTTCCTGCTGCTAGCATACAAAGTGTCCAAGCTGGACAGAGAGTACCAGGAGTATAACCCATATGAAGTCCTCAACTTGGACCCGGTAAACACGCACAAAACACAATGTCTCTTGTTTTCTGTGGGTCCTCTGAAGTCCGTTAAGACTCTTTTCATCTGGTGGGACAAAGATAACTTTTCTAAGATGAAACGCAAGATAAAAATAACCATCTTTCAGGACTTCTGAGAACCCACCGTGTAGTTTTCCTTTGACTTGTATCTGTTTTTACACTTCGTGTGCGGTAAGGAGCTGCTGTAATTTATATTTCTGTCTCCAGGGTGCATCGCTATCAGAAATCAAGAAGCAATACCGTGTGCTATCACTCAAGTTCCATCCTGACAAAGGCGGTGATGAGTCCACATTCATGAGGATTGCCAAAGCCTATGCTGCGTAAGTGTCTCGATGTTGTAAGCCAGACAGCATTTACATAATCAATAAACGGATGAATGAATAATGAAAGCCCAGAAGTGTAAGGTGATTGATTCCTTTTACTCTTCAATCCACAGTCTGACAAACGAACAGTCACGACAGAACTGGGAAACATACGGTAACCCGGATGGGCCGGGAGGTGAGTGAAACTACCTTTTTTTTTAATATTTTCACACATCTGCATTTTAAAGTGTTGCCACACCTTGTTGATCAATTCTGGTGAGTCTGACTCGCTTAGTCATGAATGTGACAAACAATGGAAGATTCATCGATACATGAAAGCCCGTTAATTCCAGGGAGAAATACCTTGAAGATATGTCTCAGTCTTATACACTGACTTCTACTGTGGGCGTTTTTATAATGCATTTTCACTCACTGGCCTCCAAAAGTAACACGTGTTCATGTTGTTCAATGGCATCTAAAATGGATTATAAGGTTTCGAGTGTAGAAATTGAATAGTAATTTTTCACAATGTAAATATAGGAAATAATCATTTTGTGCTATTCCAACTTTGCCCATGATGCTAAATTTGCCACACGGCACAGCTCTTGATTTTTTTACCATTTTGATCAATGTTTCTTATGTCTCCCTTTCTAGCCACCAGTTTTGGTATTGCTCTGCCCGCCTGGATTGTTGACCAGAAGAACTCAATGCTGGTATATATTAATGTCAAATGGATTAACAATTTGCAAACCTACCTTTTTATTTGCTTTAAAAGTGTTGTACTATACTAGCAACAATAAAAAGGAGTGTGTTACATCCTGCTTTCTTCTCTAGGTGCTGCTGGTATATGGACTAGCCTTTATGGTCATCCTTCCTGTTGTTGTGGTAAGTCCTCCTCAGCATTAGATTGTACAAAAAACAGTTGCCTTCCCTTCCTCCTGTACCCTGACTTTCTAACCTTCTTACCTTTTTCCTTCCACATCTCAGGGCACATGGTGGTACCGCTCCATCAGGTACAGCGGAGACCAGATCCTCATCAACACCACGCAGCTCTTCATGCATTTCATGTACAAGACACCCAACATGAACATGAAGCGTGAGTTCCCCTTCTTCTTATAACAAGACTTTGGACAGATAGCAGACACGTTGAAGCAGAACAACAGGGGTGCATATGGTTATTATTGTTTGGGGGATTTTTTCAACATGCTAGTTTGAAGCGTTAGGTCCAATGATTAAGTCAAACAAGCTTTACTTCCACCTAACAAAACAGAAATTCTGAAGTTCTTTTTGATATGTTTTTTTAAACTTATTTTGTTTTTCACTCTCAGGGTTAGCCATGGTGTTGACTGCAGCGTTTGAGTTTGACCCTCGCAGTAACAAAGACGCCACCATACGACCAACAGACAACATCGAAGTTCCACAGGTACTAAAAAACCATACTTGAGTCTGCCTGTGTGAGAATGACTGTTTTGAATCTGTGTGTAAAGAATTCAAAAGAAAACACTTGTAAACAACCTCTCCTGTGTGTCTTTTAGTTGATCCGTGAGTTGGGAAACATCAACGTGAAGAAGAAGGAGCCTCCATTCTGCTATCCTTACAGTTTGAAGGCCAGGGTCTTAGTGCTGGCTCACCTGGCACGCATGGACGTCTCAGAGGAGCTGGATGAAGGTAGGACACTGGAAAAAAAACTTGTGGAAAAATTGCTAAATGTTATTATTTACATGTTATGTTGTAAAAGCTACTCTTAGCCTGCTGATAAATTAAAGGGGACCTATCATGCAAAATGCACCTTTGTACGTCTTTTATACATGAATATGTGTCCCCGGTGTTCCAGGGAACTCACCAAGTGTCAGAAAACACAACCCTCTCTATTTTCCTCCTTAGCCAAATCTCAAAAAAAGGGGCTGCAACGGATCTGAAAAAAACGGATCCAGATTTCAACACTTTTCTACGTCACAAAGAGGTGCTCCGCTTATTGGTCAACTCTCCACCTATCAGGGGAATGAGCCACGGCCACGTGCATTGCCAAACCTCTCATTCGCATATACTGTAGGACGGATTTCCGTCGATTTGGCTATTCAAATGTTAACGAAACGGACAGACTTCCGTGCACATCAGCGGCTGTCAGATTAAAACAGTTTAATGCACTTTTAACACTCACGTACCCAGGATTCCTGCTCCTTTCCTGGGTTACAAAGTGAGGTGACGCAGCCTGTCCTCTGGGTGCGCTCTGTGGGGGGGGTATCGCAGCCTGCTCCTCTCTGCCTGCCTGCCGCTGCGCTCTGCCTCTATCCACACAACTTTCCCCCGCCTTTCAGAGACTTATTGCTGGGTCAAACTCTAAGTTACAAACTGTGCCGGAGCTGTTAGATTAACATTAACATGCTTATTGTAGTTGTAACTAAGTGCACTGCCTTGCGACCTGTAGCACCGTCCTTGATGGAGCATATGTGTGGGCTGGACCTGTATTTTACAGGAAAAGAGTGAGCAGAGAGTAGAGTAGTTCTTGTTCTGTTTTCTGTGAATATCTGCCTCACCCTCTCAGACTTTGAGTTGCGCGTGCTACTAAAGAGACGTGTTACCATGGAAACCAAACAATGGTGTAGCTGTATTAAAGTCCGAGTGGAAACAGTCGTGTTTAAATCTGATTTTGTCAGAAATCGGGAGAAATATGACCCCGAGAGGAAACCGGGAGAGGGCAATGAAATCGGGAGTCTCCCGCGAAAATCGGGAGGGTTGACAAGTATGTTGTCAACTAACCATTCAGAAACGTCCTGCTGCAACCGAGATGTTTGCACCTCCACCAAAACCTCCGNCATATGTGTTTGGGGTCCGTCTCTTACCAATGACGTCACGACGTAAAGACGTCAATGACGTCACGCATTGTGATTGGCTGTACGGTCATTTACCCACGCTGTCTAGCGTGGGTAAATGACCGTACAGCCAATCACAATGCGTGACGTCATTGACGTCTTTACGTCGTGACGTCATTGGTAAGAGACGGACCCCAAACACATATGGTACCCCGAACACATCTGGTACCGACACCGGCCCTGGTTGCAGTCAGTCTCTTTTGATTTCTGGATGCCACCATTGTATCATTACTGATGAAAGACTCCACTCTCTTGTCTGCAGATGTGCCTTTTTCCCTGTCTTCAATCTAGATTAAACTAGATATTCCCAGCAGCGTGACACCTCCTCATATTATGTCTTTCACACAGCAAATGGGATAATATCACATAATAATCCCCTGGCTCTGTGGCGTTGTGGCCAGTCTGATATCATGCTTCAATAAGCGCAGTGTTGACTGGTGGTAGAAAGACATGAAGGCTGGCATCATTTCAGAGGAGAGAAGGTAATGAAACCAGTACATCATTACTTTGACACGTTGTCACCGTGGTGCATTGTTAAGGCTTAGTTTCATCAGCTCGCCTGGGAATAGAAACATGACGGCAGTGTTTGAGCAGGTGGACTTTACTGCTCTACAGATGATGTTTGATCACATGACTGTAAACAGGAAGTCACACTCCCTCCATGCCTGTTAACACCTCTATGTTCAGACCTAAGATGGACACATTTGTTGTGTTGAGTGTTCTGGACAGAGAGAGGGAGATAGGCCTGTTCTAGCTTAAAGGTCAGACTCTGTATCGGTTTCATAAGAAAACTTGATACTCGAGGGCATCAAGGAGTGTGTGTAGAGGGGGGGGGGTGCTGATGCTGAAGGTAATAGATTGCAGGAAGGGTTAACTCAGATTCAATTGGATTCAGGTTTCAATAACAGCAAGGTGAGAATATGTGTTGCCAATTCATCTTGTACAAAATCTACTTGGACTGTAGGTTGATAAACCCACATAAGGAAAGATCCATGGTATTTTCACACAAAATCGAAATAGTTTTCATGCTGTTATTTCTTGTGGAGAGTTAGCTTAGCTTAGCATAAACAAACGTCAAAGAGCTAAATGCTAGCATTGCTCTTTCTTAAGGTAACAACATCTCTCTAGCACTTCTAAGTTCACTAATTAACAGAATGTATATTGTTTGTGAACTTAATACACAGACTAAAGTGCTGAGCTAGAGCCAGGCTAGCTTTTTACCCATGTTAACAGTCTTTATGCTTAGCTAAGATAGCCCTTTCCTATAAAATAGCTTAATATATGGCACACAGTCATGATCAATCTCATCAACATCTGTGCAAGAAAGCTGATTAGCACATTACCAACAATGTTAATAAAAGCTTGAAGCAAACAAGACCTTTACTCAACAAATCATCAATTGTTTGTCCCAACTGTGTTTTTCCCTTTTTCTGTAGCTCATTGTCTTTTATTACAATGTGTTTTTCTAACCTTGGTTTAAATTTGCCCTGGGCCTCGGCCTCCTTCCTCCTCTCCCTGTGCGATGGGATAACAGAAGGTGAGTTCTGTCAGAGATGGATCCCCTCGGCTCTCCTGGGATATGTTGCCTCTGTTTATTTGGCTGTTCAAAGGACAGAGAGGAGGGGGTGACTTAGAGCGAATGAGAGAGAAAAGCCAAGGACCCTCATTGCTCCCAATGCAGCACTTAATACAGTGGAGACCAGCAGCATCTTATTTTTTCCTTTTCCTATTCTGCTCTGTTGTCTGACAAAGCCATTGCTCATGTTACATTAAACTATAAAGAAGGTACTGCAGCGTTTTCTCCCTCCAACTCCTGTACAGGCAGGTCTGTCCACAAATTATAATATAGAGAGATAATCAGCAACACTTTTGCATAATTAAATTGCAATGTTGCTACTGTAATCATATACAGTTGCACTGGATCAGTCTATCTTGATTAGGGCAAATTCCTTATGGAGTTCATTGACTATAAATTAATTCAGTTTTCTCTAATCAAAATTTACAAAAAACTTAAACTTAACTATATAAGTGTCATTGAGCCTAGGGAACCAACTGTAAAAATCCCCAGCTCTTTGGTTTATTATCACATAAGATGAATAAATGTAGCAAAGCCTCATTTTTTTTAAGAATGATGACTTATTTTAAACCAATGTATTCAACTTTAACCTTGATTTCACCTTGAAGTTAAAATCTAGAAAAAAAGATAATTAATTTCTGCTTTTTCCGTCATTTGAGGGATGTGTCGACAAAAACATAATCATTTTTATTCTTTGTACGTCCAATTGTTAAACTACACAATGTAAAAAAATCCCTAGCCCCTCACTCATTCAGGAGCCCACCGTGAGAGAACAGACAGACTGTACTGGAGGGCATACTAATCCTGAGGTCTAGTTGATTAAAAGGCAGATTGTGTCAGCACGGTGAAGTCCGTCTGAGAGCACCTGAACGAGATCGATGGAGGTTGTTGAGAAAAAAACGTTTCTCAATTCTTGAGGAACAGACTTTACTCTGTGTGTGTGAGAGAGTAACGTAGCAACAGAAATTGACAGGGCGGTAAATCTGACTCTGCAGTTTGATGTGTGTGCGTTGTTGGGGTGCATGCTGCAGAATGAGGGGAGAGGGACTGCTGTAATGCCCTACTTTTTCATGGCTCTGCATCAATAGAGCCCCACTCAATTAAGCTTATTCATGTGTACGAGCACGGACACTGCCCACATACAGAGCTCTGCCCCTCGGGCCTTGTGTGGGGCTGTGTTTGTGTCTGTGTGGATGTGTGTAACAGAAGTTGCTTTTTTTTTTCTTTTTTTTTCGGTTGATGACATTCTGCTGCTCTTTGGCAGATATGGGGTGGTGAGCGGTCAGGGGTACTTCTCCATGAATGGATGAGTCCTCACACACACATAGGTCAGTGTGCATATTAGGGCCAAATAGAGCAAGAGGAAGTAAGAGATGGAGCATCTTCTCGAGGATAATACTTAGTCTTATGTCTGTTCTCTTTCTCTCTGGATCATCACCACAATACAGGAGCTCATTTCATTTCCACCCTTGTGTGTAGGAACTCTGTCTCAAGTGTGTGTGTGTGTGTGTGTGTGTGTGTGTGTGTGTGTGTGTGTGTGTGTGTGTAAAAAAAAAATGTTAATCTCCTCCTGTCTGAATGATTATCCCCTCCCCCCCTTCCTGTGACCTTGTCAATAACATTCCCATTTGCTCGCCTTTCATGTTTTTCTGGCCGTGTATCATGTGAACCTCATTGGGCAGCAGAGGACGAGTAAACAGTGCAACTCAAGCCAAGTCATTAGCGACGTTCAATAGGATTTAGGAATAGCACGCCGGGGATAAACACACACATATTGACGCACATAGGAATTGTGTTACCATTACGGTTACCGGATATACTATATGTACGACATACTGCAGACATACAGGTGTAACCAGTATACTATTTCATGATCTAGGCTATTGTTATGCTGGTGGTATACAAGGGTTCATCATTTACCTCTTTATTAGTCCATTAAAAAGTGCATCCATCCACTCTGACAGATGATGGATGTGAATCAAGTCTGTAATCAATTGAATATATCTCCTTTGACTGACGACAGGAAGTGAGCTAAGCTTGATTACCTCATTATTTTTTAAACTAGAGGCTTCCTGCAACATTGTCAGCTGAAGGTCAAAATTGTATAAAAAAATGAATAGAGTGGGGGGAAGAGCAGTGAGAGTTAATCTGAGAAAAATACATCATCTTGTTATAAACTTGGATCTAGAATTACGATTATTGATTAAATTACTACATCCAGCAAGACAGATCTACTTATTGG